CAAACTTTCGTTATTTTTTTGGTCCACAGAGTCGAAGCATTTTAAAGCTTAAAATTTTAAAAAGTGGTTTCTTCGGCGAAGTCATGCCTTGCAGAAAATGTTGACGATACACATTACGTGTTCGACCGCAGGTCATTGACCTCCAGCTTGCGTTGTTCCAGCGGAGAAGAGCGTCTGGCAGTTTTTATAATAGCGTCAGATTTTGTTTGTTAAATCATACACAGGCATTCATGCATCAATCATTCTTCCAACTAGTTCGTAGTTATGTGAGATGTTTATTGGAGTCACACGGATCGGAACAAACTCAGCGTATCAAATAGTAAACATCAATCGCCCAAGCACAGCCGTGGCAGCGTGGACCCGCCGCGCTGATAATCCCCGGTATTGTCCACAAATTATCAACAAATACGTGAAAATGAGGTGGAATAAGTGTCATGTAAATCTCAGAATACAAAGGCTGCTCATTAACGACCGAAATCTTGCGAAAGATTTCTTACGCAGAAGAAGTTTCGCAGCGGCGTTTCCATTACCAGTGGACAGTTCTGCGAAATTCTGCGGGACGTCCCGCAATCTTACGCACGGCCTTCCGCAATCTTACGCACGGCCTTCCGCAATATTTCGCACGGCCTTCCGCAATATTCCGCACGGCCTTCCGCAATATTCCGCACGGCGTTTCGCGATATTCCGCACGGCGTTTCACGATATACCGCAGGACGTACCGCGGTATTTCGCAGAACGTCCCGCGAAAACTGATGCGTATTTCGTGGCCTGTGCTGTATAGTCAGGGCTCAAAATTAATTTTGGGGTGTACCATGAAAAATAAAATACTAAGTACAATAATATATTTATATTATAGTAAAATGTCTCAATATGTTTCAGTTCCAAACAAAACTACTAAAACAATGATCATATTATTATTATTTATCTATTGACTGGTTGAAAGCTCTACATGTAGGTGAGAACAATCCTTGGTGTTGGAAGAAAAGTCTTCAACATATAACTATCAACACAGAATCACTTTCATGATGATTTTTTTGTTTTATTCAATACTCATAAAGTTATGAATTTCTTGCTGATTCTGTCAATGCATTTTCTCACTGGCTCCCACAAAGCAACAGGCATGCATATGTATATGTAGCAGGATAGTGAAGACAGAAAAAGAGATAACCTATTCTGGGACCTTTGGCCTAATTTTAACCTGACTTGTATGCACTGATTCTAAAGTCTAGGGCCTGACATAAATTTTGGAGGCTTCTCTTCAGAACAATTGAAAATGAAATTGTACAGCTTACTTCAACGTATTACTCATATCCAAAAATATAATATGCTAATTTAAGTTTCAAGTTTCAAGTTTATTAATAAAATCAGCCTTGCAGCCAGTTTACAAAGTCGACCAAGCTGAATTACACTGATTTTTACAAATTTTGTACATAGTAGATACAAATACACATTTACATGACAATACATATACAGGCACGCAAACGAACATGTTACAAAATCACACAATACACAAGGGCACTGAAGTAAAGTCCAGAGTCTTGAAAGTCATTGCTACAATGACTCGTTGTACAGGCGTATTGCCTTGTGTAGGAAAGAGTTTTTCAGTCTTTTGGTGCGGGCCGCTGGTACTGTGAGTGCAGCTCCATTTCTTAAGGTCCTCCCAGTGGCCGTTTTCCTAACCGGTGGAACCAGGTCATGGAGGGGATGACCCTCGTCCAGCATGCTCTAATTTAGAGCTGTGTACCGGTACGCAGTACCGATACTGTACCGGTAAAATTGATTAGGTACAGGTCCAAAATACCTAATCCCTCAGTACCGGTACTGTACCTAAACAATTTCACACCAATTTAATGCCTATTTGTGACCTCAAATGTGTAAATAGCTGGTTAACAATGGGTCCCTGTGTAAGGACAGTGTGTTCATGAAAACAAAAACATATATATAGCCTAAATATCTGAGCATTCGCCATAAACAAAGAATAAACCTTAACTATCAAGTTTATTTATGTTTTTTTTTGTTATTGAAGGAGTTCAGAAGAGCATATAAATTGGTCGAATTGTTCAGGTACAGGTTCAGGTCCGGACCTGTACCTAAACCTGTGTACCTGTACCTGTACCTGTACCTAAAATTTGTTTAGGTACACAGCTCTACTCTAATTTATAAAGAAAGTTCAAATTGTACCTTAGTGGGGAGTTCTGTAGGGAACACAGCTTTGTTGAAAGGTCCCCTGTTGTAGGACACCCAAAGACTGGTGAGGTTGACAGCCGAGGGAATCCTTGGGTTGGCAAGCTGCAAGAAGAAAAAAAAACGACATTTTACTATATCAGTTGTCGAAATACCTGTCTGCAGTCTGCAGATAGATTTTCAAGATTGCAGAAGAAAAATTTACACAATCTGCAATTTTGCAGAAGGAAAAAATTACACTTGGGATTTGGGGCTCTTGGCCCCAAGGACAGACAACACTGAAGCTCCTGTTCTGAAACAACAAGAGCTTCTTCACTAAATTGCATCAACCTTGTCTTGACTTGTCTATCTTTTGCTTCTTTTGGACTTCCAAACATTTGTCTTCACTAATTTGCATATGAATCAATAGTTCATGCTTATAAACCTGCAAGATTGTAGTATAGAGGCTTGTGTATTTGCAGAAAGTATTTCCAAATTGCAGAACAAAATTTTGACTCTTCTGCAATATTGCAGAGTGCTGAAAAAAAGTATTTCGACCACTGCTATATCGTCTGTTTGCTGAAAGCCTTTAACTAAAAGACCCCCTGCAGTTTCAAAGAATGCTGCTAGATGGACCAACCTTATGTCACTTCTTCCTGAACACAAGACCTAGTTACCTAGTAACGTAAAATGACATGATCATAATATCCAGAAAACAAGATAGAAAGAACAATAAAATAATTCAGTAATTCTTAGACAACTATCTTCCATCTTAAGGCCATGTTGATTTGATTATATGGAGGGCATCCTCTGGGAACCCCAAAACTGATGCAAGCGTGCAAATAAAAAAAAAAGTTTGGCAAAAACAAAAGTTGCCTCCATTATGAAATCTAGGACTGGTGGTCACGAAGGTTGAACAATTTTTTATTGGCATGGTGAATAATATATTATAGACTCTTCCTTTTCACTCGTTCAGAAAATTGTACGATTTACAGTATGGTCCCAAACTTTTTTTTTTGGAAACGGACAAAAATTCATGCGCGGATGTCATCAAGAATAATTATAATCAAATCAACATGGCCTAATCCAAAAATCAGAAGAAATTTTTCAACAAATGCTCCTGCAGTTCCAGAACAAGCTGCTAGGGGACCCAAACTCATGTCACTTTTCCCTACCCAAGAGCTATCTACCGGGGGTACCAAGGAAAATTCGTGACCCTAGCATGTCCAGATCGCGAGATATCAAAACCGGAAGTTCTGCTGCAGTACCAACAAAAGCCGTAAGGGGCCCCAGAATCTAATCATTTCTAGGTCTCATCAAGACCTACCCACCTACCAAGTTTTCATGACAATGCATATTAAGCTTCTTGAGTTACGCTGTTCACAAACGGACAAATGGACAGATGGACAAATGGACAAACGCTACAGTAACTGAAAACAAAACCTTCTTGGCGAAGGTAACTAAAAGCAACGTCCAGCCTTGCTTTGTCGTACCATAGATCTGGTGGCAAACATGTAGCTGTCTCTGACTTCAAAGTCGTCTACCCCCTGAATGATGGTGGCGATGTACGTCTCGTGGCTGAAGAAGTCGTCAGACTGTAACACCGTGTGTTTCCCGTCGGGTTCAACCCTTTCCACGTACACCGCGTTGATGTGATCGTACGGCGGGACCCCCCTGTAAGGGACAATAACAATCACGATAATGAGCTTCATTAACAATCATAATAATGAGCTTCATTCAGGCTTTTAGCTAGGATTTTTTTGTTGGGTGCCCTTTTTTTTATTGTATGCTATGCGCAACGAAGACGTGCCAGGCGCAAACTTTTTAGGGGGGCTTTTTTGAAATTCATAATGCTCTCAAACACTACTTTCTGCATTTTGAGGTGCAAATTTTGAGAAATTCATTTTTTTTTCCTTCAGTGAACCATCATTAATTGGCACATCATTAATTGTATTTTATAGTAAGGCTGAAGGGAGGCATGTGTGCATGGCAGGGGTTTGGAAAAAATGCGCGTCTTTAGGGTGTCCTACCAAAAAGTAGAGGGCATCTAATTTCTTATTATTTTCAGTACAGGGCATTCAAAAGACACCCTGGACACCCCCTAGCTAAAAGCCTGGCTTCATTGCATGTTCAGGCCCAATATGGGCTAAATCCTTTAAGTTAGATAACTTAAGTTGATGAGTGAGGAAAATATGTTGATATACAATTGTAAGAAGGACCAAGGACCACAGAAAAAAATTGGGTGCACAGCTCCGATTTTGGGTGCACTAAGGTGCACAGGCACCCAGTATTTCTAGCACTGATGTTTCACAAATGTGCAGTAGAAACCTTGCATCATCATCATTGAAACCTTGAATCTGCTTATAACATGTCTACTTGCCAGTAGAAGGACTTGACATCCTCTTGCATGACTGCCCAGCCTCGGCCAAAATTCCTGGAGATCCACAACTGGAACAACAATACTTATATGAGTTAAATCTTTTCACAGGACAAATAGAAGCATCTTACATACAAGAAACTAATACTTTCAGTCTGTTAAATATTTTTATTACGAAAAATGTGCTGTAGATTTCCTTTTTTTAGGACTTAATCTTGTGGTAGAGAAAGTAAGGTAAGATAACTAGGTTATGTTTACTGATAAGGAAAACATGTTGCTTTTGCTCTGTGTCCTCTTCTTCTTCTCTAAACAAATAAGGTCAGTGACCTGAACCAAATGTCTGTCACCATGGTAACTGGTGTTGGATTACATCATGTTGCAATTTTACAGCAGGAGGGATTTAGACTCCTGTCACCATATGTATGATTATGAATGTGTCTGAATAAGAATTAACAGAGCAGACCATATGTACATGTGTAGGTAAACAGTTACTCTATGCATTTGCTTTGTAAATGTTACCTTTCCCTTTCACCAACAAATTACATTGGTGTGGCCTAGTGAATAAACAAACAAACAAATAATGGACCCACCCTCCTGCGGTGATCGTTCTCGTCCATGCCCAGTACCAGGTTGTTGTCGGACTCGTGCATGAGGAGGCTGGTGGGCACAAACGGGACGTAGCCCATGGAGAAACTCACGCCGCCGTTTGTCGTACGCCAGATCCGCCGGTGAACCACGTCCGTGAAGATGTACTGTATCAACAAGACACAACAATTAGATGCAGTGGTAGAAATACTTTTTTTCCTTGTTTTTTTTTCTGCAATTTGCAAAATTAATACTTTCTGCAAATACACAATCTTTTCAGCTTAGTAGACGTTTTTCTATAGCAATTAGACTAAAGAAAGTATGTAATAAATTTTGCCACTGCTAACTGCGCTATCTGGGTTTAGAAGCAAGATATCATCATGATGTTGTTTGTGCAGCACATTAAGGCCAATCGGTAGCCATATGCACAGAGGCCACCACCATTGAATCTGTAGCCTTATTTTTTCGGTCTGCAAAGTTGCAGGCCGCTTAATTTAGTTTTTTCTTCTGCAATATTGAAAATGTCTGCAAAATGCTGACTGCAGATGGGTAAGTTCATCTGTGTTGGTAGTAATCATTACAATAAAATGTTGAACTTTATTCCAACACTGGTCAAACGTTAAACAGAGATCAAGTTTTTATCATTAAAGACTATTATGAATGAGATCAGGAAAACTCTCACGAGATTACATTTTGAAGTGATTGTTTATTCATTATCCTGATGAAGGCAACAGTGGTCACTAGAGCTGTGTACCTAAACAAATTTTAGGTACAGGTACAGGTACAGGTACACAGGTTTAGGTACAGGTCCGGACCTGAACCTGTACCTGAACAATTCGACCAATTTATATGCTCTTCTGAACTCCTTCAATAACAAAAAAACATAAATAAACTTGATAGTTAAGGTTTATTCTTTGTTTATGGCGAATGCTCAGATAAAATATAGGCAAAACTAAGTTGTTTTTGTTTTCATGAACACACTGTCCTTACACAGGGACCCATTGTGGACCAGCTATTTACACATTTGAGGTCACAAATAGGCATAAAATTAGTGTGAAATTGTTTAGGTACAGTACCGGTACTGAGGGATTAGGTATTTTGGACCTGTACCTAATCAATTTTTCCGGTACAGTATCGGTAC